ATATATATATATATTTACAAAAGTCTTCAATTTTGAAGCCACTAAAATAAAATTATTTTAAAAATAAAACTATTTTAATTTTAAATTTTAATTGTAAACTATTTGTGTTATATAAAAAAAAAAAAAAAATGTATATAATATATAATATGTATTTTTTCTTCATTATGACATCAGGACACCAAAATGTAGGGCTTGGTAATATGGCCAAAAAAATTACCACGATAATTTTTTTCATATCAGTTGATATCGATAATTATCACAATAAATTTAAAATCTTTATTTCTTTAAAGTTTAAAGGAAGATTTTTGCTCCTAAGTGAAAGTTGTAGAAACCAGCCCGTTAATTGTGGTTTTAAATAAATCTTTATGGTCAGAACATGACAAACACGTAACGTTTTTGAATTCTTTACACTTTTCCAGTCATTTTTCCTTAACAAAATAAATGACTTGATATAGAAATTAATTTCTTAGTTTCTGCATGTTCTACTGAGTGATCGTTTCAAATCATGAAACAGGTTTGTGTTGCTTGACTTTGATGGCACAGTCATTTTATTAATATTAATAAAATGCATAAACATTATATCGAACATTTATCGAACCCTTGTTATCGATTTATTGGAGAAAATTTAATCGCGATAATTATTGTTATCATTTTATCGCCCAGCCCTAGTTGTATGCAAGCCATTGTATGTATGAATACCATTTGTAATGTATTTTTAAATGCATTGAATAAATGCATTTAAAAATACAGACAAAAAAGTAGTGTCTTGTCATTGACCCTTATATTCCTGCAGTATTTCTACATTGTTGTGCTTGTCCACAGTGAACTTTCACTGGTCCAAAATCTTGTTCCAGGATGACTGCAAAATAAATATAAACATTATCTGATTGTGATCGTGCCACGTCACACAATGTTTTCATATTTAGTGTGTTTCTCACTGGAAACTCCCTTTGTGCCTGTTTAGTGTTATGGGAAGAAAAATTAAAGAAAATTTCCCTGCGATATCCAAAATACCCTGATGTCTGTGTTTTTGAAAGACCAAATGCTCTGCACACAATGTCTCATGCAAATGCTTCACAGCCACCTGCTCCAGCAGGACTTCTGCAGTTTTCGATCTCCAGCGTGGCATGTTATGCAAGCTTTTGCTATTTGAAACCTGAGTACTTGCAAATGACATTATTATGATGTAGTTGATCTTTTTTTTTTTCTTCTGGTTGCTAGGAATTTAACCAAGAAATACAGCCCTAAACGAGGCAGCAAAGAAGAGCAGGAATGCAGGTAATTTTGCACGCTTCTAAAGCTGTATGATTGACTTATTTTTCCTCACAATTGTGATGACAAGTGAACCATCCAACCTTAACAATGTGATATCAGAGAAGAAAGCTGACAAATCCCCAGTCACTGTAATCAGATCACTGTGGTACGCTGAGCTATGTCTGATGTTGCTACGGTGCCTGAGCAGCAGTACCTATGGGGCTGTTGCTGTCTCCAAACAAAAGCACATCAACTCAACAAACAAACGCATACACCTGAAAATGACTTAACGTATGCTCCCTCAGGGCAAAACTAATGAAGTCACTCATGGAAATCAGGTACTATTTAAATCAGCCACAGGTGAAGAAACTACATTGGCAACACGTTAAACGTTGAAAATATTTTTTATTCATCAGGGTCTGATTGAATTGTGAAAGCGGGCTATGATATTATTGTTTATTGTTTTCTTGTTATAAAAATCATAGTGTTTTTTTAATATATATGTTAGTTCATATATATATACACACACACACACACACACACCTACACACAGTGTGTGATTATATTATATTATATATTTAGTGCTGTCAAACGATTAATCGCATCCAAAATAAAAGTTTTCGTTTACATAATATATGTGTGTGTACTGTGTATATTTATTATGCATATACAAATACACACATACAGTATATATTTTGAAAATATTTCCATGTATTTGCATGTATATATTTATATTAATATAATTTAGGGGTGGGGGAAAAAATCGATACAGCATAGTATTGCGATATTTTCCGCGGCAATACTGTATCGATACACGGACGCCAAGTATCGATATTTGCTGTAAAAATGCAGGGAACCACTCGCTATAAATCTCTTAATTGATATTTTCATAAATAGAAGTTGCATTTTAAAAGGTAATAAATTGCAATATATCGCAGAATATCGCAATATATTTAAAATCGCAATAATATTGTATTGTGACACAAGTATCGTGATAATATCTTATTGTGAGGCCTCTGGTGATTCCCACCCCTAATATAATTTGTATTCTATATAAATGTATTATATATTTTAATATATAAACATAATATTTTTCTTAAATATATGCGTGTGTGTGTGTGTGTGTGTGTAATAAATATACACAGCACACACACACAGATATACATATAAATATATATTCAGAAAGGATGTAGGATGTGTTAAATGGATAGAAAGTGATAGTAATGACTTGTATAGTTAGAAAATATTAATTTTTTTGAATAAATCTTGTTTTTAACTTTTTATTAAGATATTAAGCAGCACAACAGTTTCAACACTGATAATATATCAGCATATTAGAATGATTTCTGAAAGGTCATGTGACACTGAAAACTGGAGTAATGATGCTGAAAATTCTGTGCTGCGTCACAGAAATAAATTATATTTTAAAGTATAGTAAAATAGGAAACCAATATTAGAAATTGCAATAATATTTCACAATATTATTATTTTTTTTATATATATAAATACAGCCTTGATAAGCATAACTTTAAAAATACTTCTTTAAAAAACATAAATCTTACTGATCCCAGACTTTTGAAAGGCAGTGTACATCTGATTCATAGAGTAAAACTTGCATGCAACCCATAATGAAGTGTGAATATTATATTTTTTTTTGGAGTGTTTTGGTCAAACCAGTTCCCGAATTGCTCTGAAATGAATGATTCATAAGTTAAGTGATTTTTAAAATTGCAGTAATCCCAAATGACTGAAAAAGTCACGTTTACTACCCATGCACATTGTATCTCATTCGTGTTACTTTTCTTTAGGTTCTCCAATCACCAGGCCTTTCTGGACATCCTGAATGAGATGAACGACTATGCGGGCCAGAGGGAGCTGATCGCTGAGAACATGATGATCAATATCTGCATCGAACTCACAAAGTACCTGCAGGAGCTCAAACAGGAGCGCAAGATGGTGAGAGAATGAGAGAGGCAGACGGAGAAACTGGGCCAGGCTTAAAATAAAGCATGCTGTGGGACAGAGGGCCGGGAAGGACGCAGAGAGGGGGATTGTGGGTATGAAGGAGAGGCGGTGGAGAACATGTCACACTGCTTGTTTGAGAAGAAACATTCGAGTCTGTTGTGGTGGAAGTCTCATTTTGATTTGTGCCACACTGTCAGAGGAATGCTTTGGTGATCTTCATAAAGATCAGTCGATGCTCGGCATATAACCTCAGCTGTCTCCTCTTGTTTGTCACTTGGAATTTATGGGATACTGTTTTTATTGTTAGTGCTTCCTAAGGCAAACATCACTAGAGTTAGGGATTTGAACAAATGACTAACCTTAAGTATTATACTGGTTCTGCTGCAGACATGAATGATACATCAGATTTATGAGCTAAATATGCTTGTTTTGAAAGAGGTGTGCGTTATTTATTTTTTTTGTAAGTGATCATATTTTTGCCTGGCAGATAATAAAATGGGTGGAAAAAATCACATAGACGTACATAGAAGCATGACCTGAGTATTTAGAGCTAAGAATATCAACGACTTTTAGGTGGGCCAATAAACAAACACCCTAGCAACTACTTGTATATGACCTAGCAACCGCATGGCAATATAATAAAACACTCAGATGCACCTTAGCACCAAACGCATAGTAATGACCTTTCACAACGCCTAAGGAGCTTCATAGTAATAATGAAAATCCATTCGAAACATCTTAGCAACCATATAGCAAGACCCTGGAAAACCACACTGTAAAGTCACGATGAAACACAGTGTAGAGAGACCTTTTCTGCTGTATTCTGGCATACATTCGAGTAGAATCAATATCGATGGGGACTTGGTTCTGTTCATTGGCTGCTGATTGGATGGAGGAAGATCTAAATGCGAGCTTGCAGTCAATTGTAAGAAAGGGGTGGGTTTAAGTAGACAAAATGATTTATCATATGGGCTTGGCGATATAGCTAAAAAATATATAAACGATATAATGTTTCATATCGTTCGATATTGATAATTATTACTTTTTTTCAAACTTTTTTTTTTTAAACGAAAAGCAATAGAAAAAATGTTTAAATTTAACCACTGTATTTTTATTTTACCCAGTTTGTTAAGACAAACAAATAATGTTTTGTTTTAACAGTCAAACACAAAATCAAATTTAAACCAATATCTCCTTTTTTATGTTTTATGTACAGATTAAATAAATGTTTCATATCGTTCGATATTGATAATTATTACTTTTTTTCAAACTTTTTTTTTTTAAACGAAAAGCAATAGAAAAAATGTTTAAATTTAACCACTGTATTTTTATTTTACCCAATTTGTTAAGACCAACAACAAATAATGTTTTGTTTTAACAGTCAAACACAAAATCAAATTTAAACCAATATCTCCTTTTTTATGTTTTATGTACAGATTAAATAAGTCTACAGGAAACTTTTGGCTTGGCCTATATTGTGCGCTATATTGAACTTTTTTTCTATCGTTATCGATGAAAGTGTACCATTGATAAATACAGATACCGTTTTCTCTCTCTCTCTCTCTCTCTCTCTCTGTCTGTAATGTGCAGCATCTGTCAGAAGCCAAGAAAGCACAACAGTCTCTGGAGAGCACCTACAAGCAGCTTGACAATGTAAGTTTCTCTCTGTGACAGGTTGTGATGGAGACTTTGTTGTGGTGGTGTGTCTCACTGTGTCGTTGAACCACCAGATCAGACTGTGCTTGATGAGTTTACATCCCTGTCAAAGGCGTGCGAATACGTCTCTTTGTGGCGTAAGCGCTGACTGTGGGGAGAGTGCTCTTTTGTCTCTATTGTTTCTGCTCAGTGTGGGGTTGTATCGAGGTGATTGAAAGTGATTGTTTACTGATCGTTTCTGTGGCCATTTTGTTTGGTCAGGTGAGGGTCAGGAGTGTAAACAGACACACACATTCAAATGCTCTTGAAGCAGCTGATATTTTCCAGTTAACAATGAGCAGATATTTTAGACACCTCGTCTCTTTGTGGCGTAAGCGCTGACTGTGGGGAGAGTGCTCTTTTGTCTCTATTGTTTCTGCTCAGTGGGGGGTTGTATCGAGGGATTGAAAGTGATTGTTTACTGATCGTTTCTGTGGCCATTGTGTTTGGTCAGGTGAGGGTCAGGAGTGTAAACAGACACACAAATTCAAATGCTCTTGAAGCAGCTGATATTTTCCAGTTAACAATGAGCAGATATTTTAGACACCTTTAAAGGGATAGTGCACCCAAAAATGAAAATTCTGTCATTCATTACTCACCCTCATGCCATTCCAAACCCAAAGACCTTCGTTCATCTTCAGAACACAAATTAAGAAAGCCGAGAGCTTTCTAACCCTGCATAGACAACAACGCAACTGACACATTCAAAGCCAAGAAAGGTAGAAAGGACATTGTTAAAATAATCCGTGAGACATCATGGTACTCTTGCGCGTTGACTGACATGAAAGAGAAGAAATTGTTGAATAAAAGTAAAATTTTTGTTTTCTTTGCACACAGAAAGTATTCTCGTAGCTTCAGAAAATTAAGGTTGAATCACTGATGTCACATGGACTATTTTAACGATGTCCTTAATATCTTAATTTGTGAACAGAAGATGGACAAAGGTCTTACAGGTTTGGAACGACATGAGAGTGAGTAATTAATGACAGAATTTTCATTTTTGGGTGAACTATCCCTTTAAAGATAACGTATTCACAATTTATCATATTAATTTAGAAATGTCCATAGTTATACAATATTGTTCATGTTATTTTAAACAAAAAAAGTTTTTCATGTTTTATCCAAATTTGATAATCTCTTTTCCACTGTTGTTACCAGTCATACAATGGTGGGGAAATACAGTGTTATCCAATAATATTGTATATTAAAATGTTTCACTCCTACTGAATAAAATCAGGTCACATCCTGTATTGTTTAGGTATCCTGCTCTATTTCACAGAAATATGGCACATAACAATATAATTTATGGTGGGGAAATACAGTGTTATCCAATAATATTGTATATTAAAATGTTTCACTCCTACTGAATAAAATCAGGTCGCATCCTGTATTGTTATCAGGTATCCTGCTCTATTTCACAGAAATATGGCACATAACAATAGAATTTAAATGTGTTGTGAATCTTGTTTTTTTTATACCCCCAAAAATCTGTATATTCGTTTCCCCACCATCATGTTACAAACCCATATGATTTACTTTATCCTGTGGAGAGGGTGAGTAATTAATGACAGAATTTTCATTTTTGGGTGAACTATCCCTTTAAAGATAACGTATTCACAATTTATCATATTAATTTAGAAATGTCCATAGTTATACAATATTGTTCATGTTATTTTAAACAAAAAAAGTTTTTCATGTTTTATCCAAATTTGATAATCTCTTTTCCACTGTTGTTACCAGTCATACAATGGTGGGGAAATACAGTGTTATCCAATAATATTGTATATTAAAATGTTTCACTCCTACTGAATAAAATCAGGTCACATCCTGTATTGTTTAGGTATCCTGCTCTATTTCACAGAAATATGGCACATAACAATATAATTTAAATGTGTTGTGAATCTTGTTTTTTTATACCCCCAAAAATCTGTATATTTCGTTTCCCCACCATCATGTTACAAACCCATATGATTTACTTTATTCTGTGGAACACAAAATGATTTTAAACAGAATATTCATTCTGATCTTTTCCATGAAATCAAAGTATCAAGCTCCAAAAAAATATTTTAAAAAAAGCAATGTTAGTTATATATGATGTTATATTCAGTTATCTGAAGCCTTACAGTAATGTTCTGTGGGGAACCTAAATCTAAATAGTAAATTTGAAATCAAATATGCATTCGAAAAGTATTTTCTCTTTACCAACAATTTAGATTTTCTCTCCAAAAATGCTCTCTTGAATCTGAAGCTTTCTGCCCTCTACAAATGCAGCTGCGTCTAAGAATCAGTCACTTGTTTACACCTTTACTCTTTTCTATAGGTTGAATGGCACATAGTGCGCTGTATAGGGGATAAGGAGCGACTTTGAATTCAGTGGCGCCAAAAGCCTTTGCTTTATTTCTCATAACCAGTAGTGATATGTCTGTGGACGAAAGAAAGTGATATAGGTTTGGAAAAACATGAAATCTTAATTTTGGTGTAAAATACCCCTGTAATGGCTGCAAATAAGAGCATTGTGTATGTAAACGCTTTGATTCATGTGGTGGATGTTATTTTCATGGTAGAGTAAAAAGCGATTTGAGAGGGAGTGGAGAGAAGCAGAGAAGGCTGCTCAATGTGCAGAGAAAACAGATCAGGACCTCAATGCCACCAAAGCCGATGTGGAAAAGGTATTTATGTTGCGCCAAAAGGTTTCACAGGTCTTGCCACTCCCTTGCATGCACATCTCCCATCCCACCATCTCATTTCCATCATATCCAAATGCATTATTGTTGTTTCCTTCTTCCTCTTTATGTATGGGTGTCTGATTTCACTTTATCTTTACTTCTGCGTGTGAATGTAGGCCAAACAGCAGGCGCATATGCGAACGCACATAGCAGAGGAGTGTAAAAACGACTACGCTTCACAACTTCAGAAGTACAACAAAGAACAGAATCAGTTCTACTTCACGGACATGCCTCTTGTTTTCAATGTAAGAAACATGTTGAGACACATTTGTTCCTCTCAGCTTACTGTAGGAATGATCCTTTGCAGAGTGCATACTGATATCTGTGTGCATGTTTGTTCACTGTAGAGGCTGCAGGACATGGATGAACGGCGTATCAAAAAGTTGGCGCAGGGTTACATCCTGTTTGCAGACACGGAGCGTCACGTCATGCCCATCATTGGGAAGTGTCTGGAGGGAATGACCAGAGCTGGCACGAATGTCAACGAGAGGAATGTGAGTTCTCAGTTGTGTTTTTAAGAAAAGCAGTTTCCTGCTCTCAATAAACCACGGGTGTCTAGTCCTGCTTTGGGATGGCCACTATCCTGCAGAATTCAGCTCCAATCCTGAACCAGATAATCAACTTCCAGGCAAATGTGATCAGGCAGGTTGGAGCTAATCTCAGCAGGACATTGGCCCTCTGGGAGAAGGATCGGACAACCTTGCATTAAGCCAGCCACTTTAAAAGAGCAGTCAACCCTCTGCAAGCCGACACATGGAGTAGCTAACACTTTTCTGTGTTATTCAGGACTCTGTGGTTCTTATAGAGCAACACAAGTCTGGCTTCGAGAGACCAGGAGATGTGGAGTTTGAGGATTACAGTCAGGGCATCAACCGGGCCTCCTCGGACAGCAGCCTGGGCACTCCTAAAGGTCCTCTAGAGTTGCTCGGCAAGAACAAGAATAAAACATTCCGGTTGTTCAATAAGAAGAGCAAGGTAGGCTTCACTATTCTCTAAAGGCAGAGTTCCTTCGGATGAAATTGATTTGTTTTGTGTGGAGATGGAAAGTTCTCTTTTACCCTGCTGGAAAAGCCCTGCCAAAGGTTGCCGAAGCATAGTTTACTCAACTCAACCAGATCCCATCAGCTTGTCCATGCTGATCTACCAGCTTTAACCAGGTAGACTTTAGTCCCAACTCCTGATAGTCCACCCGATCGACCATCTAAATCAGGTCTGTCCAATTCTGCTCCCGAAGGGCTCCATCCTTCAGAGTTTATCTCCAGTAACACTAGAAACTGGCAGACAAGCATGTTGAAGAGCTTGATTAGTAGGGCTGCACGATATATCGAAATTATAGAAATATCGCAAATGTAAATATCGCGATATGCATATCGCAACGGCGTGCGATATCTGAATCATTTTAATAATAGGCTACTTAAATCAAAACGTTGCAAAAGGTCAAAGTTTTAGTTCGACGCATATAGTAGAGAATTGCTTGACGTTAAAAAGAGTTATGTGCAATAAGTTGCAGAAAACAACTCTTTG